ACCCTCCCCGCCCCTCCTGCTCCTCCCAGTCCCAGCCTCTGCCCCCCACTTACCCCCTCTCCCCCACCTGCACCAGACCTGGCACTGGAGACCTTCCAGAAGAGCCTGCGTGGCCAGAAGATGCTGCCTCTGCTGTCCCAGCGTCGCTTCGTGCTCCTGCACAACGGAGAGGCCGAGGTGTGGCCGCGCCTGGGGGGCTCCTGCAGCCTCCGCCGACGGCTGCCTCCGCCCACCCGCCAGGCCAAGTCCTCCGGGCCACCCACGCCGCGTGCCCCAGACCAGCCGGGCACCCGCAGGCCTGTGCCACCTCCCTTGGCACCTCAGCGTCCCCAGTTGCCCGGCCCCACTCCTGACCCAGACAGCGCCCACGACGGGCAGCCCCAGGCCCCGGGCAAGGAGCAGTCGGGCACAGGCGACAGGCACCCGGAGCAAGAGCCTTCCCCGGGGACAGCCAAGGAGGAACGCAAGGAGCCCGAGAACGCGAGGCCCTAGGGGCGGCCACCCACGCCCCACACCCCACGCCCCAGCCACACTGCCCGCCTTCAGGGACCTATAAAGGCTACTTTGTTACAAACATGGTCTCTGCAGCGGTCCTGCCACCTCAGCGCCCCGAGCCCATGCCCACCGGGGTCGCCCCCCACCACGCCGGCACTGGCCTGAAAGATGCTCCCCTGGGACTTCCTCAGCCCCCAGGCCCTGCCCCCAGGCCCCAGTAGCCCCCACTCCATGGCTGGGCCCTGTCCCTGAGGAGACTGTGCTGAGGGAGGGGGGTCTCCATGGCTGGGCCCAGTCCTGGGGGGCTGTCCTGAGGGAGGGGGGTCCCCACAGCTGGCCTATGCTCCCTCCCGGGCTGCCCCATCCTGGGCTCCCGCCCATCACCCTGAGCCCCTCAGCACCAGGACCCCCCTGCAGCCCTGTGACCCCACGGCCCCCATGGCCTGGCCTGCGATTCGCCATTGCCTGGTGTCCCCAGGAAGGGTCTGGACCCCATGGGCCCCTCTGAACCCTGCTGGAGCTCCAAAGGAGGACCCCCCTTGAGCCCAGGATTGCTGCCGTGGGCACCCACAGGGCTCGTCCTAGCCCGTCCGGCACAGAACCTTCCTGGGCCTTCAAGTCCCAGGCCTGGCGCTCCAGCTCCACGAGCCCCCAACCTTCCTACAGGGGCCCCAGGACTTAGCCAGGGGTGAGGGGCACAGGGCAGCTGGCCCCGACAGGAGGGTCCCACAGAAGACTTGCTGAGCCCACACTGGCCAGGCCCCAGTCAGCCCTGTGTGGCCGCCGATGGTTCTATGCCCTGTGGGCTTGGGGGTTTGCGAGGAGAGCTCTGGCAGCCCAGGGCCTCTGAGGCGTCCACCCTACCCACCCCCTCAGCCACCTCCCACCCAGAGAGCTAAAGTATACAGGCCTCTCCCAATGGCTGGCTCAAGTCCCCTGTGCCCCCCAAGTCGAGACCTGAGGATTGGGGGTCCCTCCCCCAGGCCCACCCCCTGCATGGCCTGCCCCCAACTCCACAGGGTCACGGCCAAGTCGCCGGTTCCTCCTCCTGCGCTGTACTGCAGCCATGGGGGACTGAGGGGCCAGCAGAGTCAGCCTTGGTCCCGCGGCCACCCTGCGCTCCACGGGAATGGCAGCTCCATTCCCTGGGATTCGGCAGCCCAGCCACCACTAGAATGCACCGTCAGCTGTGGTCTCTGGCCAGCACAGCAGGTGGGGCACAGCCAGGGTGCCAGGGAGAGGAGAAGGCAGGACAGAGGGAACTGGGGCCCACAGAGGCCAAAGAGGCCCCAGGTCTCAGAGCCAGTGAGGAGCCACCCCAAGCCAGGGGCAGCCCCCACCAACATGGTCCTGACGCTGGGGCCTGGAGCAGGGGTTCCCAGGTGAGAGGCTAGGCACACACCTGGCATTGTGATGGGGCCCCCAGTCTCCTCCCAGCAGGTCTGCTGGACCCTCAGGGGGCCAAGGGCAGGAGCAGCCTGCTTGGCAGCCCACCGAGGCTGAGGAGGGGTGAAGCAGGAGGGGCCTGGGAGGGGTGAAGCTTCCATGGCTGGTCAAGCACCCAGGACTTGGTAAGTCCACACCTGCTCTTAGGGGTCAGGGCCACATTGCCTGGCGGCTTCCAAAGCCACTACACGGCCACATCACTTCGGGGTCCTCCCGACGCTGCCCTCTGCTCTTGCCACCCAGATGTCCCTGGGGCCTCTGTGCCCTCCGGCCTCTGCCCCCGGATCTGCCCCACATGCCTGGTGCTGTGTCGTGCCACGATCCCAGGTCAGGACCACGTCCCTTGGTGACACTGGAATTGTCCAGCTCCCCTCCCTGTGGTGGGTGGGGTTACACCCCCAGGCTCAGGGGCCCCAAGATGTCAGCAGAGGTCACCTGAGCCCGAGGGGACAACGGAGCCTTTGTCGTCCCTGGGCCCTGATTGGATGTGTCACCGCCAGAACCCATGAGGAGGGTGCACGTTGGCAGTGGCCTGCCCTGTTCTGATCGAGCCCCACCCCCCGCAACCCAAGGTCCCCCAAAGGCCTAAGCTGAGGATCCAGATGCTGCTCAGGAGTCCTTGATGCCCCAAAGAGCCCGAAAGTCAATGAATAAACAAGGTTTCCAGAGAACCCAGGAGCAACGGCCACATCCCCACCACCCAGTCCATAAGTGCTCATCTTCGAAGCCACAACGGCATGGACCACCAGGGAGGGGGGACTGTGGGTGCCTGAGTATCTGGCAGTACAAGGTGCTCCCCAATACTCAAGTGAAGTGACCAGCCAGGGGCCACAGGAAAGGCCTCAGAACCCCTCCCGGACATGAGGAATTCAGGCAGGGCTGGGGTGCTTCCCGGAGACGACGCCAAGCTGGAGCCTGGGATCCAAGATAGAGGCTCCGGACAGCTGACGCCCCCCACATCCCCCTCCCCCTCTCTCTTCCACGGGTGAGTCCTGGGTCCTGCTGCCAGGTAGGGGACTCAAGGGGAAGGCATGGGGGAGTCAGCTGCCCCCATTCAGTGCCCCCAGGCACAGCCACACACCCTCCATCCCCACAGCCTCCATCGTGGGGCCTGGCCAGCACAGACCCTCACCAGCAGCCAGAGCCTGGGGTCAGCTGAGGGCCAGTGGGCCTGCGTGTCTGTTTCAGCTGAAGAGACCTTGGACCCTGGAGGACTTGAGGCCTGCGTGTCCATGGGCCCCTGTGCCCCCGCCCCCTCCAGCCCCTCTCCCCTGGGTGTGTCTTTAAGACCGGAACCAGGACAACCGAATTACCAACTCCGGAAAGACCCCCAGTTCCTCGAGTTTCCGGGAAGATGAGATGTGTGGGAGGCGGGGTCTGCTTCCTCCCCCATGCCAGGCGCCGAGGCCTCCCACGAGGGTCACTGGCCAAGAGGAGCCAGTCCTCTCCTGTGCTGTCCTCAGAGCTCCCCCAGCATCGGAGGGGACAGCGGTGACGACCCAGGTCCTGGTTAGACCACAGACCCCAGCAGCTGGGGCAGCCGGGGGCCACCTGTCCCTCAAGGACCCCCCACCTGTCCTGGGGCTGGGAAAGGCTGTGTCCAGCTCTGTCCGGGTGGGAAGGGGCTCCCGCCACAGGTGTCCCTGTCAGCTGCGGGGTTCGGTCCCGCTCTCAGTGGAGGGTGGGGAGGGGGCTGGCTGCGGGGGAGGCTCGGGGCGGCGGAAGCGCTTCTGGGAACAGAGGTGGCCTCAGGCCCTTTTCTCAAAAGTCCGACGCCAGCGGGAGGCCGGGGCGGCTGCGGTTTTCCGGGCGGAGGGAGGCCGCGCTGTGCCAGTGGGTCGGGCTTCCAGGTGGAGCAGGGGGGCCCTCCCCTCCCCGGGGAGCCGAGATCACTGCGCCCCGAGTGGGAGGGGGCTGGCTGGGGGGGGACGCTCCGCGGCGCGCCCGGCGCCTTCTCCGCACCCGGCGCCGCCCGGCCCTCCGCGCCCCAGGACCCCCTCCTCGGCCTCCCCCCGAGACCCCCGGAGGCGCACCCGCCCCCACGCGCGAGTCCCCCCCGCCTCCCCCGGGCTCCGCGACGCGCGCTGGGGCCCCCCCAGGCCCGGAGGTTCGCGCTCCAGGTGAAGCTCGTGGGCGGGCCCGGGAGGAGCCGGAGACCCCGGAGACCCCGCCCCGAGCCCGCCCCGCAGCCCGCGGAATCCCCCGCCCGCCGCTGTGCGTCAGCCCCGCCGCCCCCGCGCTGACGTTTCCGCGCCGAGGCCCACGCGAAGCCGCCCACGAGGAGTTTCCGCGCTGAGTCAGCCCCGCGGGACCCGCACTGCGCGGGCCGCCGGTGTTTTCTGGGGAAGGTGCGGGACAGCCCCGGTGTGGGGGACGCGTGAGGGGAGCCGGGGCCGGGCGGGGGGAACCCGGGCTGCAGGCAGGAGTCCGCGGGGCAGGGCCCGACCGCTCAGCCGCCCCGGGGCTCGCACGGGAGGAGCGCACCGAGCCCAGTGCCCAGTACCCAGCCCGGAGCCAGTTTCCAGTACCCAGCCCCGAGCCCAGTACGCCACAGCGCCGAAAGCCCAGGTCCTGCTTCCAGGGCTGGGCACCTTCCCCGGTGTCCCTGTGCCCCCCTTGGGCTCTCCACACTCTGGGTCCCATGTGGGGTGGGTGCTGATGCCGCCTCTGCCCCATCCACCTATTGTGAGCTGGGCCCGCCGCCCACTGGGAGCTGAGCTGGGGGCCAGGTGTGCGGTGCCTCCTGGATGCTGCTGAGGGGCCTGCACCGGCCTGCCCGCCACTCCCCGGTAGCAGAGTGAGCTGGTATCAGATCTCACCTGGAGCAGGAGGCTGGGCAGGCCAAGGGTGGGGTGGTGAGGAGAGAGGGCTGGCTTGGAGACGGGGCCCCCACCACTGGAAAGTGCTGGATGTGAGTCCTGGGCTCTGGGCACCCAGGGGCCGGCAGGCTGTGTGGCCAGAAACCAGAGATCCAGGGGCACCAGAGAAGAGCCCCCTAACTGGGGAAGCCGCTGAGCCTGTATCCCTGAGAATCACTGGGCCTAGGACTGGAATGGCCCCTCCTCGGGCCCCACCCCCACCCGGCCAGGAGTTCCCGGAATGGGCCCTGGCTGCCCTCCCCTTTGCCCCCTGTGGAGGGGACCACGGCCAGGCATGGGCACGGTGCCCCAAAGCCCAGCCCCGGCGCCCCATCCGCCCCCAGCACCCAGCATGCGTCCACTCAGGTCACTGGACGAGTGTTTATTGAAGGCCCCAAGCAGCCGGGTCCTGTCCTGGGCACTGCACACCCGCGGGCACAGCCTCCCGTCCTAAGACCCCACCCCAGCAGTGCCGTAAGGGAGGAAGGGGGCCATGGCTGTGTCTCTCTCTCACTCTTGCAGGGCCCAGTTGTGGCCGCCGACCTGCATGGTCCAGGGCGCTGCTCACTGCCACCTTCCTGCACCCACTTCTGCTGCCAGGGCAGCCGGGCCCGGCCCAGAGCAGAATTCGGAGCCCGGGGAGCTCCTAGGGAGGGGCTGGCTGCAGTCGGTGGCCCAGGAGGATGGCCAGGCTCACACCCACAGGTCTCCCAGCCGCCCCTTCTCCTCTGCCAGCCGCTCGCCCCGCTCCTCCTCAGGGAACTGGCAGCTGCTGGCATCTTCGGTCGACGGCGGCACCTCCAGCAGTAGCTGGGTCTCTGCAGAGGGGCCACGGTCAGCAGGCAGCCAGGCCCCCACCTCCCCCCACCAGGCTGTGACTGACCTCGGGGCCCCGTGGGCTGACTCCTCAGCTGCCAGATGTGCAGTCCAAGCTGGGCCGAGGTCAGGAGGAGGACGCAGGCGGCCACGGCCAGGAGGACGATGGTCAGCCACCCAGGCGGCTCTGCCGGCGGGGACCCTGGGACGCACACGGCGTTGTGGGTCTTGTTTCCAGGGAACACGGTGAGAAACCCAAACTGGGTGCAGCTGGAATACACAGACACAGCCCCCAGTCAGTCCCCGGCTGCTGTCCTCGGCGCTGTCTGGGGCTCGCCACAGTGCAAGGGACAGGAGAGGACCCTTCCTTAGACTGAGCCTGGACCACCCAGCCGCCGGCAGGGCCTACCCAGGACTCACTCTGTCCAAGGTTTGCAGTGGCCGTCGTGGCCCCTGGAGAAGGTCCCCAAGGCACAGTCGACACACCTGAAGCCAAAACTGAATTTCCCTGGTGCGGGGTCGGGGGATTAGGGAGGGAAGGAGGGAGGGAAGCTGCTGGAGTTGCTGGGATGGATGAGGATGGAGTCAGGCCAGTGCAGGGGTCCATCTGGGGTCTGGCTGCTGAGTCGAATGCCCCCCCACATCATCCATTCAACAGAGTTCTTGATGGCCCAGGACTGGGGCCCTGCATGTCAGTGCCCGCGTCTGCCCATCCCAGATGGGGCGTCTGGGGTGGGACCTGGGGAGGGCACCTGGGGGAGGAGCGCAGAGTGCACTGGGCCTGCCCATTGGGGGCTGAGGGCGGGCAGAGGCCAGGCAGGACTCAGTAGAACAGAGGGTCCCAGAAAGAGTGAGGCTGGGTCCCAGCTGACCCCAGACCCTGCCCTGTCCAACCTCACACAACCTCCCCAGTTCTACCTCCTCACAGCCCCCATGTGCCCAGCCTGGCCCCTCCCGTCAGGTAAACAAGCCGCCAAGAGGACCTGAGCTGCTCGTTCCAGGAGGAGGTGTAGCCCCGGGGCCCAGACAGGACTCGGGGGGCACAGCGCAGGCTCGGGGCCCAGACAGGACTCGGGGGGCACAGGGCAGGCTCGGGGCCCAGACAGGACTCGGGGGGCACAGGGCAGGCTCGGGGCCCAGACAGGACTCGGGGGGCACAGGGCAGGCTTGCTCGGTATTCGCTGAGGACAGACAGGATGGGTGTCCCAGGCTTGAGAGCCAGACAGCTCCCCACCCCCCGCAGGGTTCTCACAGTCCTCGTGCTGGATGGAAAAGCCCAGGCCGAGAAAAGGGGGACGAGACACTCCTGGAGTTGCATGGCCCGTGGTGCCCGAGCATGGCCTGGGCTGCCTGGCCTCACAGGACCCAGGACCCCACACACCACACATGCCGGACTCCTGCGCCCACGAGCTCTGCCTCGGGCCCTAGTGGACCCCCTGGCCTGTGTGGACGCTCACAGGCACCTCCAGGACTTACCCTGGGGCTGCACCCCCTGGCCTGAGGGGCAAGGGTGGTGCTGGCAGGTCGTGCAGCAAGGGTTTCCGCAGTGGAATTCAGGCTGGACACACACGCAGTCCCACTCGGAGCAGCACTCCTCGCCTGGGCAGGAGACAAGCCAGGCCCCCAGCAGCTGGGCTGAGGCCCCTCCTCGGCCCTCCAGGGGAGCGGGGTTGTCCGTTCCCCACCCACAGTCGGCTCCAGGGAGCGGAGGGCTCCTGGCTGGGAGTCCGGACGCTGGGTTTGTCCAGGTGTCTCTCTCTCCTGGGACCGTGTGGCCTGGGGCTGCTCCCCCTTTGTGTCCCACAGCTGCCTCTGCCCAGGCGCTGACTGCACATGCCACCAGGGGCTGCCCCTGCGGGACCCAGGGATGGCCCCCAACAGTGCAAAGCCCCCTGGAGGCCCGTGGACACCTCAGAGGCTGCCTGCCTGGTCTCCAGGCGCCGCTGTCCCCACCAGCCACACTGGGCCTCCGGACAGAGCCTCCCTTTCCAACCCTGGAGGAAGAAGTTCTGAGGTGACTTCCTCTCCGGGCCGGCCGTGTCAGTTGAACCCTTACCCCCAGGTGCAGGTCAGAGGCAGGCAGCAGGCCAGACGGCGGTGCAGGGGGAGCTGGGCGATGGCCGAGGGTTCAGGACCCACCCAGCAGGACCTGGAACAGCCCTCCTCCACCTTGAGACCCCAGACCCCCCCCTTGAGGGCGCTCCCACCTGGCTCGCCCCTGCTCCTCGCCGCGGGGACCACTGGCTGGAGCTGGCACACCTCCACCTCTCTCTGGGATCCTGCCTCCCTCTGGAAGGCTCTGGCCGCTGGCGACCCTGTGCCCACCCTCCTTAGACCTCAGCGGCGCCGGTCTGAGCACGGGAAGGGGGCGCCCACCCATCCCGGCTCCCGCGCCGCACCTTGGCCGGTCCGCGTTAAGTAAACACGGTTTACTTACCCTGGTAATCGCGGTAGCAGCGCGTCGGGTGAACGCGGCAGCAGCGTGCATCCCTTCCCGTCCCGAGCAGGAGGCGCCCAGGGCCGCACCCGGGACCCCCGGTGGGGCGCTGACCCAGGCTGGCCGCACACAGCAGCGCCAGGCAGCACAGGGTCCCGCACGCACACATCGCCCCGTGCCGTGCCACGCTTGGGTTTCAGGAGGCCACGGCAAGTTGGACTCGCCCCGTCCCCGTCCTCACCGCCCTGCCCGGAGGTGACTGGGACTGTTCCTGACCCGAGAGTTCCGCCCAGCGAGATGCGTGTGAGGAGGGGGTGTGGACGCTGCAGACACAGCCCGATCGCGGCAAGTCGCCGGCAGGGGCGGGGAAACCGGGCTGGCGGGGATCAAAATGGTTTTCTGTGCAAAGTCTGCGGCCACGGCGGGCCTCAGTGTGGGGAGCAGGGGCGGCGTTCCACAGCTTGTCCGTGGGGGCTACCGGGAGTGTGGGACTCAGCCACACCCTCTCCATCCCACCGCCTCTGGGTGGTGTCTGTGAGACCCCGAGAGGTCTCCACAAACCCTGGCCACCCCCAGAGAGCCTCAGCCATGGAGCCCAGCGCTGGGGAACCCCACAGAATGGGGACGGGGCCCCTCAGCTTAGCGCGCCCCACCTGGCCGGCTCTGGGTGTGAAACTCACCATGGGCTGCAGGCCTGTGGGCTCCCTCCCCTCCCCCTTGCTTACAGCTCCCCAGGACCCCCCTCAGCTGCCAACCCAGGAAGCTCCCCAGGGCTTGGGAGGGAGCACCAGGAGGAGCTGGTGGGGAGACAAGAGGGTGCGTGGTGCCTCCTCGGGTCAGTGTCAGCCGCCCCCAAGGGCACCCAAGGCCCAGGGCAGAGCGACCTGCTGGGTCTGCCGTGTCTCAGGCAGGTTCCCATTCAGATGTCTCTGGAGCCATCTTCATCCATCGCACCAGACAGATCCGGGTCCTGCAGGGCGTTGAGGGGGAGCCCCTCGCAGAGCTCTTGGGAGGCCGTCCTATGTCTCTCTGAGCCTCAGTTTCCCCTGTAGGCACTGCAGGGTTCTGGGACCCTGCCTCCACCAGGAAGCCTCCCTAGATTGCCCAGCCCTGCTTCGGTGCCGTCCAGCACAGTGGAGACCCCAGGAATGCTGGAGGCGGGGGCTCGGGAACTTGAGCGCGGCTGTGCCCACGGCTGGATGTGGTTAGACACCTCTTTGAGACCTGCAGCCACCACCTCACCCCATAAGGCGGTTCCTCCTTTCCCAGGGTAAATGACGGGAATTAGCTGTTTGTGACACCCCGGAGTTCTCAGATCCAAGATGGAGGAGCCCGCCTTGGACAGGCCGTCTTCAGACGCTGCAGAAAAGGAAGGGGTCTCTGCGGCTCCAGGCTGCCCGGACACTCAGACGGAGGGGGTGGGGCCAGCTGGGCCTGGGGGCCTTTGAGGGGCCTGGAGATCTTCATTCCGCCCCTAGGCTAGGAGGGGCTCTGGGCCCCTGGATAGAAAGAGGTGCCGTCAGACCCGGACGGCAGGCGAAGGTGCTCAGGGAGGAGACCCCGGGCAGGCTGGGCTGCGCCCCTGCCCGTTTCAAAACCCCGAGAGGTCTGCACCAGCTTGGGCTCACCCCCAATCCTGGCGAGTGCCGGTAGATGGCAGCCCGAGAAGACACAATGCGTCCCCTGTAAATAACGCTCATCAGTCCCAAAAAATTAAATAAATGTCCATCAACCACACGGTGCGAGTCCTGCTTCCAGAGGCAGGGACAGAGTTAGGAGGGCGAGCAGTTTATGGGCCAAGTGGGAGGCGGCCAGCGGGCAGAGGACCCCCCGCCCCGTGGCGCAGCCCGAGCAGCTCCCCACACGATGGTCCCCGGAGCGGCTGCCAGGGCTGTGACGTCCGCCTCCCGTCCCTCTCGCTGCAGAAGGCCCTCGCTGGCTCCCCATGACTTCTGTCCTTGGGCTGCGAGGCTGGAGGTGATTTTGTTCATCTTATTTTCTGGTATTTTGTGAGCACCTCGCCAATGACACAGACGACGGGGCATTCACGCAGGAGAGCAGCCCACAGGGTGGCCGGGCGAGGGCGGCTGCCAGGCAAGGGGCATCCAGAAGGGCAACTGTGGGGCCCCAGGGGGAGGGTGCAGATGGGCACCGGGCCAGAGCTCAGGCAGAGCCTGGGGCACAGATGGCGCAGGAGTTGCCAACAGAGATGGTGTCAGGTGAGGGGGTCGGGGGGTGAGCACAGAGACCAAGAGGAGGTGGCCTCTTGTCCATCTGGGGGTGCAGCAGGGGGTCCTGGCTGGGGAATAAGTCCCACAGGGCCTGGGGGGTGCTGTGCCCAGAGGAGAGGAAACAGGAAGCGATGGGTGTGGGTGCCAGGTTTGGGGAAGAGGCCCCTTTCCCACAGCCTTCGACCTGCGAGCCCCATGGGATCTGGCCGGCCGCTCCAGTCCTGGCCACCGGACCCCTTCCCCCACCCACCCGCCATCCTGCCTGCAGGCCTGGCCTCGCCTGCCCCACGGGGCGGGGGCCTGGGGGCTCTCAGAGGCACGGCCCCAACCCCGTGCAGGGCCTGCAGGTTGAACCCTGTGCAGGAACCCGGGGAACTCAGTGAAGGTGCTGGGTGAGGGACAGGATGGCCTCTGACTTCCCTGTGCAGCAGGCGGAGGCTTGTGGTTGGCAGAGAGTGGGTGGAAGACGGAGGTTTGAGGAGAGAGAGAAACGGGGGAG